TGAGAAGCTAAGCAGAAAATGGCAACTTGCACTAACAGTATCTGTCCGTGGCGGGATTCACGCGGCGCGTATGTGGAAAGGCACAAGCAGGACCTCACATCAGTCTGTCAGTCACTTCCCCGTCTCTGATAAGAGGAATTCCGAGATAAGGCCGGACTTTTGACTTAATACCAAGGAGGAACTTTCATCAGCCGATCGCATATCCACCGCTGGGGAGGAATGCCAGTGGATTTTTGCAGACAAGTCGTAACATATGAAGAACGAACTAAGGTCACCATTATATCTGAAAGTATATAAAAGATAAAAAAGAAAAAAAAACTATTTTACATTAAAAATATTCTTGCAGATTTAAGATTTTCCTCGTTCTTTTAATTTTACATATATCTTAACTGAAGACCACATATTGTATTTATTATATACATGATATATTAATTTAATACCTGATCTAAATGGGTATATATCTAAAATGGGTATATATAAACTGGAGAAGCTGTTTTAATTCAAGTGACAGCTTCTTCAGTCAGGGAATCCATCTCTCCATTGTCTTTAAGATCTCGTGGTCTTGGCTTGACTCACGATTCTCATGCCAAGGATCGTTTCCAGAAGAAACAATAGAGCTGAACATCATCTTTTGGAAGCTGTGCTGTGTACTGGTTAAAAAAAAAACAAAAACAAAAACAAAAACAAATGCAAGCAGAAAAATATATATATTGACTTTCCAGAAACCAAAACACAAAAAAGAGAACAAAAAAATCCCTGTTTGACTACATTTTGGAGTGTCAGTGTGTTAGGAATTACATATCATATTTATTAAAATAGACAAAAGAAAACCATCCAGGGTGTACCCCAGCCTTATACCCTGTGATGGACTGGCACCCCGTCCAGGGTGTACCCGAGCCTTATACCTTATGATGGACTGGCACTCCATCCAGGGTGTACCTCAGCCTTATGGCCTGTGATGGACTGGCACCCCGTCTGGGGTGTACCCCAGCCTTATGCCCTGTGATGGATGGATAGAATCTACTCGTATTTATAATGACAAAATTAACAAATACAGTATTTGTATTTATTAGTATCATTTTCTTTTTTATTTCTCTGTTGATTAATATTGCCGAATTACTTATAAATATGATTTTACAGTGGTACCTCAGAACTCGAACTTAATCTGTTCAGAACTCGGGTTCGAATCCTAAAAAGTTCAAGTTCTGATCGAATTTTCCCCATAAGAAATAATGGAAAACCAATTAATTGGTTCCCGGCTTCAAAATATCACACCTAAATATGTTTTTTTTATGCATTTAAACACAAAATGAACAGGATAAAACCAGAAGAGCATATACTGTACTAAACACATCTAAGCACATTTAACAAAACAGTAATTTGTAAAGTAAATGTATCCAAATAATGTGTCCTGCCCCGATCTTTCACTTCTTCTTTGTGCCACGCCCCCTCGTTAACCCCGTGTGGATTCCCCATGTGATCAGCTGTTTCTGGTTGTTGTCATTAGTCCTCTGTATTTAGTCAAGGTTTCAGTTTGTTTCCCCAGTCTGGTCATTGTATTGTCCGTCTGCGTTTTGCCTGCTTTACCTGTAATTTAACCCTGTATTCCCCGATACTCTGACGTCTGCGCCTTTGTCTCCATTCCGTCCCCGCTGGGAATGACGATATTATTATAATTAAATGTATTAATGGTTTATTATTAATGATATTAAAATAATTAATAAGAAATCTTTATTTTTAATTTATTTTATTATGTAATAATTACTGTTAATGTGTATCATTGTCTAAACGTATTTTTACTGTCTAAATATATGTATTCAGCTTGTGTAAACATGCACGATGCTATCATAGCGAATGCGAGGCTGAGACTGAAGCGTTACCCTTTATTTCCCTTTGAGAGACGTGCCGTGTGACTCATTATCTTAGGTTGGCGTTCACGGTTTGAATTCTGAGATTCAGATCGAGTTCTAGGTAAAAAAATTTTGAACTGGTTGGTTCAACTTTTAAGAAATTTGAGTTCTGATGAGTTTGAGAACTGAGGTACCACTGTATATGCATTGTTGTGAGATGTGGGCAGAGCTATGGGGCATCTAGGAAGGGGAGGGTCAGGTGCTCTTGATCATCCATCTATCCATTTTCCATTCCAGCTTCTGCTAGAAGCAATCCCAGGTTGGGGCATCAACCCTAACAATTATCCATATTGTTTTTTTTTTTTCTACCTGTCCCATGTTTCCAGTTTTGCATGTACTGGTATCCTCCATTTTGTTTTGTCTGCAGTAACTAGGAAAAGAAGCCCTGTGGCCTTTATATTGTGTGTATATATTTTGTGTATGTGTGTGTGTGTATATATATATATATATATATATATATATATATATATATATATATATATATATATATATATTGTGTGTGTGCATGTCTGTGTATATTTCTCATGAAAACAAACAACTAATCAGAAGAGGAGATACACAATTTATCTGGGTCTGATACTTTCCCTTACACATACAGTCATTATTCTGGTCTGGGGGGCAAAATTAGTAATTAACCCATGGAATTATATAGAAATGTGTTCGAAATATATACTTTTTCCAACCATAACTGCTCTGCCTGTTTCGTACTTGTTTTCTGAAGGTATAAAAGTGATAAGATAGACTCTTGGTGTTGGCTTCTATACCTACATACTCAAAGTTATGCTAATCTTTTGACAATCCAGCAAGTATGAGAGGATTTGAGTTTTAAGTATTCTGCAAGGTTGTTTTGGCAACACAACAAAGATGTTGGTGAGCACTTAATAATTAATAGCTAGTACTCTTTGATGATAATTAGGTTATTTTCAAGTTATACAGTTTTTGATACAGGAGCAGTATATACTGAATAACTGAAATAAACTTAGTCGTTTGTTCCTCTCGATCCTATCAGATTGTGGCCATCTAATGGCCATCAGCCGGCCTTTTCTTGCTCCCTGAGCTGTAAAAGCAAAATTACCCATACATTTAACTCAGTGTCCACAAAGAGCGACTCAATAGGCAATCTCTATAGATGTTACAGCATCTCACATGTCTCAGAATTAGTGGTGGCGTGAGGGCAATAAATTTTCATTGGGGTCAACGTAGGTGCAGAGGATCCTAATATATTTCTTTATCTGTTCAACAACACTGAAAAACAGCTGTTTTGGAGCTGTAGAAGATAATTCAGGTAGAGGTCTTGTCTATCCGGGCTACTGGCAGACAATGGTGACCCATCGATTGGTAGAACTCAACAGCTCTGACTCTTGTCAGCTGTAAAGAAAGACCATTATTCCTCTGGCTCAGCTTGGTATACCTCAGCTAGAATTAGCACTCGCCTTTTCTGTCCAATCAACTCCTCTCCCCGCTCACTATAATCGTCGCCATCTTTTCCACATTATGGGGACCCATTTCTGAAACAATGGGGCAGCAAATAATGGGGTTTTGGACTAGTGGGGGGACGAAAAGGGAAAGCCTGTGAGTGAAATGATAAAAGAATGGTGACCCGGTCAAAGGTCACCCCTCTGATCTTATTGTCATCTCTATGGCCTTTTAAGAATAGCCTCTGTATCCTGTTACCTTTGGCTGGAATTTCGCCAGTCTCTCCTTGAAAGCCATTTACTCAGTGGGAACTGCAAAAGTTGTAAATGTTGTGACAAAAACATAATTGAAAAAGTCAACATCCTTTTTGTACAATCAAATGGGAGCCAAGATAGGCCAACAAAGCTGAAAGTGTAGCTTTTTGTGATAGAACAGCGGTTGTCTAAGCTCAATTCTCTGCCTTTTATTGTAGGATATATATATAGGTTTTGGTCCATTCTCTGTCTGTGAATTCCAAATCTTTTTTTTTTTTCAGCGAACACTGAAATCTGTTGAAAGAGATATTGGTCATATATAAAGGCAGAATTTCACCAACGGCTTAGAATCATTCTGTTTTTATGTTACAATGAACGTGAGGCTTTCCCTTTGGTCTGAGGTTTTAAAAGTAGCATTGACCAAGGAGCAATTCCATCTAGTCACAAAGTGGCTTGGTCCTAGCCTTCAAGAATAAATTTAGAATATAATTTAAAACTTGTGCATTTTTATTTTAGAATCTTAGGAAACATTTTAAATCAAAACTTGTCATTGTCATTGCCTGAAAGTTATTGCCTCAGAGTCATTTAAAGTTCAGATCACTTTGCAGCTGGATTAAATTGGCTGATTTGAAGTGAAGCAGAACAACAATTTACAACATACCAAATGTGTGGCTATTTCCAGACTTCAGAACAAGGCAGAAAATGTGCAAGACAGATGGCACTCACTGTTGATTGAAGTGTTTGTTTTTTTTCATTTTTAATCATATTAATTCCCGCTGAAATTAAATAATGATACAGAAATAAAACTGTAGATAAATGCAATGTAATGCAACGTTATAGCTGCAATAGAATATTTTTTGTTGCTACTGTATACACCAAACAAAATAATTAAAAAAACATAATGATTAAGTTAGTTCTAATGCATTGACAATCAGAGAAAATTTTCACCTGAAATATTGTTACAACACTGACATCCACTTGCTTTACTGTGTCTATAATCTGTACTCATTGCTGGTGGCCTGTAAAAACGTGGATGTGATGTAATGCTTGCAACTTTCTTGCTAACAACCTATGTTACCAGATTAAAGTGCAAGGTGCTGTAATATGAAATACCGCCGTGCTGTGAGCTAATGTAGTGAATGTTTTGAACGTGCAAACCAAGCAAGTTTTTTTTTTTTCTTTTTAGCCAAAACCCCTACGGAGTTTTTCCACACTGCGGCAGTTTCATTCAGGCTTGGCTGCCAAGAAAACTGTACTTCTTTTGGAGAAGAACAATCAAAGGGGGAAAAGTTTCATTACTTTTTATTGATATTCCTGGTTTTGGTGTATTTGTATAATCAAGTATGTTTACCATTTCTTAAAATGTTGGCTCATTTTAGCCTGCTTCTTTTAATATAGATCGCTAGATTAATTATAGCATCAACGAGATTTCTTTCAGAGCTAATACATTTGTTTATAACTTGCTCAGACTTTATTGTGTGGGAACCAAGTAACATGTTAACATGTATAAACAAAAAGGACTGAAAGATAGCAGCTGAAACTGAGTAAGCTGGCTGTAGGATTTATCTTGCGATTAAAGAGCAAAAGATGTAACTACTGCTAATGAGGCCCATCTTTTTTCTGGGCTACAATACTGGGTAGCTGATGCCTCCCCTTTGATTAATACATCCGCGTTTTCTGAAAGATAGTTTTCCTACATCAAAAATATCCATTTCGGCGCCAGATCGAAATATGGTAGCTGCAACGTTATTGATGAGCTCCCCAGACAAACGCTCCCATATTTATCACACCGCGACCTTTATCCCGCAATCATCCATCATAAATTAAACTTTTACGGCAGCACCATGGCCCCTCTCCACTCTCAGCACAACCTTTGTCCAGAGGTCCCCCCCCCGTACCTTCATTTGGGGCTGTTGGGGGGAAAAGCCTAAATCTGCAGTTCAGCACCTCTGCTATTTGGGGCATGTGGTCATTGGCAAAAGCATCTGTCAAATCCGTCCCCTCGGTATTCGCCAACGTGAAGCCCCCCCCTGCCCCCTTTCCTTCTCAGGTACATGAATGGGGGACATTCTTGGATTAAAAAAAAAAACAATCCAGAAAGGAACAGCTGCCTGAAACATCTCTCATTACCATGCTTCAACATATCATCAGATATCATACTAAGAATCAACAAAGCAACAAGAAGTTACTTCTCATGCTTCTAGTGCAGCATTTTGCCCATATTTTCTTACGTGTTATAAATACGTATATAGCTGGGTAGTCAGCTTGAATATGCGTCATGGTCTGGAACATACAGTGACACATTTCTTCATATTTAATGTTAATTTTATAAACCAAAAGACAGTGAAGGGGTGCATTTTTTTAGTCAATAAGATGGCATTAATCTCTCGTGCTTAATACAGGAACATATCAATATTAATATTAACAAAAAGTAAAGCATTAAAGCTATTGGAGTGGGGTAAACCCTTTGACTTCCATGTGATTAACACAAACAAATGAAATAACGTTTCATTTACGTGCTATTAACTCACAGCAACTTTAAGTCTCCTTTAAGGAAATGTCAATATAATTTGAAACAGGCATCAATTATGGATTTAGAAAATACATACATGGATGTCTGTTTTAAGCATCTCACTGGATCAATGGAGCAAATCAAATAACTCTTCTGCTATTGTTTGGTTTTAGTGTAATTAGCTGCAACATAAATAGACTTCAGGATTGTGGTTATACTTGTAATTTGTAGTATGATTATCAATCACTTACCTTAACAACATCAGGTTAAACTTACACATGTTGCTCTATTAATCAATGTGATGTTAGAGTTCATCCTTGGACTACATTTTGCTTGTTTGTCATTTCCTGCTTTATTTATTTTCTAGATTCATCTTGCTTGGAAAAACATTGTGCATTGTTACAGCAATGGAATTGATTCAATTATTTTGCCATATGGTTGAACAATGGAGTGTTATTCTGTTCATAAAGGTCACAGAAATTAGTGAGGAAAGTAGGAGCCCCTCTTGCCCATGAATAAAAACGGATTCATTAGACTGACTCCCAAGCTGAATATCATGCATAGACCCTTTTAGGATCAGACAGATTACATAATTGTAGTAGGAGTAGACGTGCAACAGTGCTACAAACCATGCTGTAATGCTAAAGCTACTGTAGCCAGCACTCCAAGCTTACAATGTATTCAATTTACAGCATTTTCCACAGTGTAAACAAATGCCCTAAAAATAAATAAATAAATACATACATACATACATACATACATACGTACATAGATACATACAATGTAAGGATATTTTGATCTTGATGTGTCAGGCAGCCTTTTGTCCTGAGGCTTTTTCTCTGTATCCTTCTGCATTGGCTTGCATGCAATAAGTATCTCCTTCTGCATGTCTGAAAAAGAACTGCAATGGTGATTTTTCAAAAACTCAAACATAACAATAAGTAGCTATAACGTTTACTACTTCAGAATCAAGCTACGTGTTTTTCTTTTGCAGTACGGTGCTTGAATTACAGTTTGCATTGTATGCTATTCCGTGAAATTGACGTACATAACGTAATTATTATTATCATTACTATTATTATTTTACTTAAATGTCATTTGTTCTCTGTCAGACCCCAACAAGCTGTACCGTGAATGTCGTGTTTTCATTTTTAGCCATTTTAAGCGTAACGAAACATGACATACCGTGAAGTTTCCGGTCCCACTGTTTACCAGGGACCAGCCTTAAGCCCCACCCTAAAGCATGACAACCCACAACATGATTGGTGAAATGCTGTGCAGATGTGTGGTTGGGGACAGATGTTCTATGGTAGAATGTTTTTAAAAACTCAGATTTTCAGTAAATGTTGTAATCGTAAAAATTCGTCACCAGTAATGATCAATTAAAAACTCAGAACCTCCATAATTCGGCACATTTTGTCTGAATTGCACAATGATTCTATGCGCTACATTTCAGGAGAGTCACTGAGTTAAATTGATTTCCTAAGTATGTCACTGGTTATTGTCTTTGTGTAACTCCTAAATGTGCACTAACAGCTGGACGAATGAAGTGTTAATGTCTTTATGGATCCCTTCAGTTGTTCTTCTCATTGCACAATAGTTGCCTCTCCAATGACCCCCCAACCCGAAACCCCCCCCCTCCCCACACACACACACACACACACACACACACACACTCCTTTAGCCCTCACTGCTAACCTCCAGAGGGTTAGGGGTGTTTGCAGTTCACTGATGGTGTACAACCTCTCCTAACCTCTTTAGCATCACTTGAGCACACCTAAAGAAACCCACTAGCACACTGCATGTGAAAACATCCACAATTAAAGAAAAATCCACAAATGTATTTCTCTTTAAATATGACCATAGGTAAAGTGGACATGTACACCATTATGTGAAGTGTGTACTTCATATATTTGTTTTTTCCAAATCTTATGTGATTACAAATAACTTCAGCATCATCTGCCAGTGATATCCATTTTAACGGAAATAATGGTTTTATTTAATGTTGCAAACCTGTTTCTAAAACAAATGAACAAAAGTAACAATTGATAACAGGAAAATTTTTATGGCTAACCATTCAACATCCACAACTATCCACAGTTAGAATTTAGAACTTTTACAACTATATTTTTTGTGTTCTAGTATATTTTTAGATTTCTAGTATAGCGTATTCAATGTATTTTTTCCTATATTTGCAATATTTTGCAAAATAGTCTTTACAAATGCAGACACAAAATATATATGTGTCAATATATTTTACTGTGAGGTACAGTAAAATAATTTTAAACTTACAGTAAGTACTGTTACACATGTTTATTGATTATTGTTAATAGTTGGTTATTTAGTTAACAATATAAACTAATTTAGCATAAAATTGCACAGTTCTACAGCTATTAGCTGTTTTATCTATCTCAGATAGAAGTATTACATTTTATATTAACTGCTTTTGCCAACTCAGCATAGTTAAAATGTGACACTTTATTAATGAAGATTTTGTAAGTGATCTAAACAAATTTTTTTTGTGGCTGTATGTGAATGAATATACATTCCTGATTTTATATGGTACAGGTAAGAAATAAATTGAGATTGTTTACATACTATGTATTCCAGGTATACGTAAACATGTATACGTTTATGTATCTGATGTGAGAAACTTGTCACACTAAAATTATAATTTGAGTTTTAGCATGTAAGGAAAGCTATTTTGAACTTAAATACTTAATATTCTTAGTCATACTAGTGGTAATATCTTCGTATATACTATACTATATAAAAAACCAGCACAAACTTTAAGATAATTAACCTAAGTCTGAACCGACTCCACTACAGTGCGATTCATTACGCCTCCTAGTGGATTGATAAACTAGCGCAGTTTGTAATTGAAATGCAAAAAGAATGCAAAGTGCAAAGTCCCGTGGGTCGCCCCATTATGTCACATTATGCCCTGCAGTATGACAAATACAAACACAGGCTCTGAAACCCCATACAATGCTGTTAAAGCATGGTACTGGTCAGAGTCCGAGATCTATAAACAGCATGGTTAACATCTGAGCCCGCATAGGTCCTCTGATTTGGAAGCAGCCTGTCGAGGAGATGGGCACGGAAAAACAAATGGCCGGCTTATTTCCTTCAGGGGAGGCCTCTATCAGTGGCAGTGTTCACCAGTGTTTGTTCCACTTCCATCAGTCACCTAGTGTTGTCCAGGCAAGCATTCCACAGCCAGCACTGGCTTTTCCACCTCAGTCAACAAAGCTGAACTTGGTCTATTTAGCTAGAAGGCAGACTGTCACGAAAAGTAAGACAAATGGGGTGTCCTGATTGACTCTTTCCTTAGATACTGAATCAATAGGCTTATTATCACGGCAATTACAGTACTAATACAAACAGATGCTTTGGGTAGACATCTGTTTAAATGGATGGGACAACTAGATTTCCAGTCAATAGGATGGAGAGACCCAGCACTAACACAAACATTTCAGCCTTCCCGTTAAAAGTATTTAAATGGTCCTCACTAGTGGGTTCAATAGCCCTACTGGACAACAGAAGTATGGTCTGACCATTATATGTTATCATTATTGTATTTTATTTTTAATTGTTTTCTATATATCAGTGCTACGTTGACAGCATTTATATGCAGCTCAGGATGTCCCTTCTAAAGTCTTTCACTGTTCGAACAAAAATATATTCATTTTTCTAAAAAGCTTAAAAAAACATTTAGTTTATTCAAAACTTACACATATACAGGTCATTTCTATTGTTTTTTTTTCCCTCCAAATTCTTTTTTCAGATGTATACCAGCCTTTTCCAAATGTAAATAATCTGTAATTTATCTTTATCAGTTCATTTAATTAAATGTATTTTTTTATCCTTTCACAAAAATAGAAAAATTACATACACAAATCCACTGCTTCCATTATAAAATGTTTCATGTGTTAATAACTGCCATGAAGCACAATCATTCAGTGTATAATATTTTTTGTAGTCTGAAGAAAAAAAAACCTGAAAAAGCTGAAAAAGACAAAGATATTTAAGAGAGCTATAAAGTGGATTCTCCCACTTAGTCCGGTGTCCTGCGGATGAACACTTCCTTGCCATCTAAAGGGTCTCTTGGCTTACTTCCTTATTATGATGTGTTTCAGGAGAGAGACCTCATTGCACCCCAACAGAGACACGTTATTTTAACATTTCCCCTCTATTCTCTCTCTTTACAATAGTCACACCTCCTTCTGTTCCACCCACGATTCTAATACTGCACATAGTCAATGGGGTTTTGGCCAAGAGGCATATCATTGGAAGTGAAAACATGCTATGAGGTGAACCTTTTCTGGGGGCCTGATGGCAGCGATGCCACTCGAGAAGGACATGGCTGGCTTGTCTGTTCCTAACAACCAACTGTGTTTGCTAGGTGGAGCATTCAGGGTCAGTGTTGTGCTATTGTTCTGAGCTGCACTCCCCCATCCCGGCCCTCTCGTTCCTCCCCGTCCTCACTGCAGGCCTGGGCTCTGCTCGACTGAGCAGGTGTCCTCAGGAAAGTAGCCAAGCAGAAAGGCCATCCTCTTTCTCTCACCCGTTTCTCACATTTATTTATTTGATTTCCCCCCTCTTTTTTTTTTCTCCCTTTGGTCAGCGAGAGAATGAAATTACACCTCACGCCCTGTCGGCGTCGAGAGCCGTTGATTGTTTCCGCCCGAAGCCATAGCTAAGGGAACAAAGAAAGAGAGAAATATCCTCGTTTCACATCAGATATTAGGCCTCCGCACAAGTGTGAGCGTTCCTGGTCGGTGGACCTGCATTAAGAGTCAATGAGGACCACATTTCTCCCGTGTCACCCTGGCATTTCAAGAAAGGGAAATCTTTATCTGGTATCAGTTGCCCGGAAACAAGTGATGTCGAGCCACGGGCCTTTCAGAAATCGGACACGCTGTTAAACTGTCCGTCGCAAATTATGATGATAGCAGTTTCAAAGTCAAATCATGAGAGAACGGACTGCTGGTTTTCGAGACATGAGAACATTCAGATTTTTTTTCTTTCTAATTCTACAAAGTAGTGAATATATGATTAGCATAATGTATTTACAGTAATCACTGATAGACAAAGAGAGAGAAGCGGTAAGAAAGCCTCGATCAAGCTGGATTCCTCTATATATAAATATATATATTAAAGCAATCGGAAAAGAAAGTGTTAAAAGCACAAAATAAGGTACTACAATTTAGAAATATTCAATTCATTCACCTTCAGTTATCTTAAAATAACACTTGGAAATTACTTTTCCAGTATTACCAATTATACAGTGAAATTTGAAATTCTTCATGCTATGTACTGATTATTGTGGATTTTGTGAGATGGACGATAATGACAATGATGAAAATAATAATTATGATGACCGCAATTGTTGCGGTATTATTTTTCATAATAAAAAATACAAAACCCAGACACTACCCACTGAAGGTATAACATGTTATTGTGTGACTAGCTACCATGTTTACACATTTTATTCAAACATTCATTAATGAGAATCCAAAGTACTGGAACACTGTGTTAGCGAAACCCTTTTGCAAATGAGTTTCACAAGCTTCGTACACTCATAGCCTATTGACATCACTATTACTTAGCTGTTTCCTTTGCAGTTTAACCTGGAACTGTTGCGAGGTCTAAGAATGAAGGAGGAAATCTGCCCAGGAGGGATAAAGAGTGAAGGACAGCAGGGAAGTGGATTTCAGCCAAAGATGAGGATCAAGCAGGTAGGTGACTCCGGCCTGCTTCAGGCTACTTCACTCTAGCTGTGCCATGGCAGCAGGCCGGGCTCTTATATATCCCCAAATGGACACTAAACCACCTTTCATACAGCATACAACCAGTAGTCTTTGCATTTGGTTATTTTTTCGTCTTC